TTATTATTATTATTATTATTATTATTATTATTATTATTATTATTATTATTATTATTATTATTATTAGTTGCCCGTAGATGAGTCCCACCGTTCAGTACACAGTAATGGAGACCAACACAGCCACAATCAACAGCGGTGCTGCAGTGCGCATCCACACAGGACTGACACTGCTGTCAACATTAGCCTTGTTCTGCATATTAGAGGCGATGGTGCTGCTGATCTCTGCGTTGGGTACAGGAACAGGAGATGGAGTGGTGGTTGGTGCTTCTGTGGTAGCGTTCTCGGGCCTCGGCGAAGAAGTGGAAGTGTTTTCTTCTGTTTCCGTTTTCGTACTCACACCCATGCCTGTGCCAGAAGCACTGGTATCTGTAGTCTCGTTAGTGGAAGAGTTTTCTTGTGAGTCTGGTGCAGCAGTCACATTAACGGCTGGACTAGACTGCTGAATAGGTTGGTCTCCACCGATTACAGTGTTATCATTTTGGTGACTCGAAGCTCCTTGATCACTTTGTGGTAGCGTATGAGTCGCTTGAGTTTGGTTTGGCGTGCTGGCAACACTTGTTGTTGGTAAACCTGCACTTACAGGGCCTTTTAATTCAACCTCATGCTTTGTACTTCCACGGGCTTTTACTTCTTCGAGTGTATCTTCCTCACGTTGTTGATGACCTTGTCCCTCAATCACTGTATTTGGTTTTTCACCAGCAGGGTGGTTTAGTCCCACCTCTTGGACACCATCTCCTATTACTGCATTTTCTCCCATTGCATGATCTCCTGAGCTTTGTCTAGGGTTAGTTACTTGCTCTTCCTGTGGAGATTTTAACCACTTAGTACAATTTATTCCTTCAATTACACGTGTGTCGTTTTCTCGACATTCCTTTTGTAACTTCTTTTCCGTGTTATTCCACCATTCGTAATAATTAAAATCCCTACTACCTACATATGCCATCACCGCCTTTGGCTGTCCAGTAGTAGCAGTAGTAGTAGCAGTTGTTCTTGTTACTGTTGTTCTTGCGGTACGCTGGCGGCAGAGGTCTGCGTACTTCCCACATGCAGACACACGGCTGCC